AATCTCAGACAATAAAAGAATTTAAACATTATAAGTTTTTTATATAAAAGATTATGTGGCTTATAATTTCCTGTTCCCCTTCCTCCAAAGTCTGGTTTATTATCTTCTCAGAGTGTATGATCACACCCTCCTTCTTTACCTGAGGCACTCTACCAGTCTTTCATATGTGTTACTAATCCAAATGCCAACCATTCAAAGTTGAACAAATATTTTCATTTTAAGCCTGAGGAAATGGAGCTCTTGTTAAACAGGCTTTTAGGTGACAGAGCTGGGTTTAGAATTAGGTTTCTCTGTTTCAAAGCCTGGGCTCCTTCTACTGTGACAACTAAACAATTTATAACATGTTGTCACATGTATGATTTGATTTCGTTTACACAATGACCATATGAAGACAGTGATATTCTACCCTTTCCCACACCTTGATGCTAAACTTCTTAAGAAGGATAATCCATACTCACCTGTTTTCTCACTTGTTTACTCAAACCACTTGAGTCTATTTTCCTACCTCATTGTACCCCCAAACCACTCTAGTTGCTAGGTCCAACAGATATATTTTCAGCCCTTTCACAACTTGCTGTCGTATTCAGTTGTTGATGTCCTTGTCCCTTGCATTCTGCGATGACACTTTCTCTTTGTGCTCCTTTGCCCATTCTGACCCTTCCTCAGTCTTCCTTGCAAAGTCTTATTCCTGCCCCTTAAGAGCTTTTGGGGGGTCTGTTCTATTCACTTTTCTAAAATGCATACTTTTAAAAATATTATTCATACCCATAGCTGGATAAGTAATCAGAAGCCAGGTAATAAAGAGCTTTGCATACAATGATGAGAAATTTCTGCTTTATTCTAGAGGCAAAAGGAAGCCATTGACAGATTTTTAGGAGTAAGAGTAGTGATGCTGCTGATAGAGATTATAGAAGAAGGAGAAACACTGGGGTCATCCAGGTTTTGAGATAAGGTGTCTGAGGTGTCTATGAGAAAACCAGGCAGTCATAGCCACAAAAAGGAAGTAAAAGAGTCTGGATCTGAGCCTGGGCAGAGAGGTTTTGACTAGAGTTGAAGAATAATTCCTCTTAACTCACCAAATTATGGCTCTACATTGTTTGACCGTTCAGCAACTGTTATATCAGCCCAGAATTTGATAGTTAGCATACAGGAAATGTGTTTTAGTTAGCTTCAAGATCCTTAAGTAAGTTCAGGAGCAAAAAGAGAAAGAACAGCACTAGGACCAAAAGGAAATGTTAAAATATCGTCTGCCTTGAGCTGTTTTTTTTTTCCGAATCTCATAGGAGCCAGAGTTTCGGCTTTGGGGTGCCCCCTCTGCCTCTTTCTAGCAGTGTGACCTTGGACAAGATATTTAAAGTGGTAATAATGGTCCTTACAGCACTGAGTCGTGAGGCTTGAGTGAGAATACGTGTGCAATGCCTGACACACAGGGAAAACCGCAAAGAGGGCTGGCATTTTAAAAATTATAATTTTACAACCTAAAATTTTTGAAATTGAGTCACTATCAAAATTTTCGGTGACTTCATGATTTTCACAAGTGCCAGCATTAGAGTTATACAATAAAATATTTAGCAGGGGCTCTAAATGAGGATGTTTGTCTAGACCAGTAGTAAGAGAAAAATTAACCTAGCTCATCCTGGCCTGTCACTACATATGAGCACAATTATCTAAAACATGAAGACTTTGAACTAAATGAATACCCCAGTGTCTTCAAGCTCAAAAATTACTCAAGCAGTATCAGCAGTGATTTTATTCCTAACCACTATATGTGTGGCCCTGAGGATCTATAAAGATTATAGCCTGACGGTTTCTGGGCACATCATCCCCCTGCCACCCCAGAGAGCCAACGAGAATTATATACCCAGTGCACATGTGTGATGGGGATGAAGGAGGACACAGGAAAGAGACCCCTTCCCTTCTACCTCCTGCCATGGGCTAAGCCCTGGGTTTTCACTCCATTTCCCAACAATGCTATGACAACTGGTGTTATTGCTCCATCTTAGAAACAAAGCCATTTAAATAGTGAGTTGAAATAAAACAGAATCCAGTCGCTATAGTCCTTGCTCTTTGCAATATAGGGTCTAGATTATTAGTAAAAAAAAATTTGTTTTCATTTTTTTTTATTTTTTTAAGTAAACTCTGCCCCCGACGTGGGCACAGACTCAAGACCCCGAGACCAGAGTCTCATGCCCTACAGACTGAGCCAGCCAGGAGCCCCTAAAAAGAATTTTGTGTACACCCATGGACACACTGCGCAGACGTAGGCTTGCGTGTTGCCTGTGGGCTAAATCCTTACAGCATTGACATTGGTTGCCTGTCAACATTGGTCTAATAGTCCTCTGCAAATTGAGAATGTTGGCAGCTCATAGGCTTTTACATTACGGAGGTGCTGTGGGGAACAATTAAATGTCTGGAGCCTGCTAAGGATTATTAAGTACTAGCGATTCCCCTCTCAGGTAATAGCTTTTGAGCCATAAAGGGACAGTTAAATAAGCACTTCCATTTTAATGTCATTTTCAAGAGAGAAAAAGGAGTGTAAAATTCTATAATGTCTAAATTTGGTACTGCTGTTAGGGAGGTGAAGAAACTTTAGAGTCATGTGCCTTTTATAAAGGGATAATTGCCTGCTTCTAAACTTGTTCAGATAGAATTTTTTTATTGGAGTAAATTGTAGAAGGTCCACAATGAAGGAGACTCTCTTCCAGCTGGAAAGCACTCTTGCACACGAAGTATGTGACCCACACAGCCAGACTCCAGTGACAATGCTTCTGAGTGGCTCGGCTCATTTTTATCCAGTTGTTTTTCAAGCCTGAATTGTGCCAGCAGTTTGTCCTGTCACCGTCAGACCTGGAAGACCTCAGCTCCTCAGTTGGCTTGCTCCTTCTCTGACCTGATCCAAAACCTTACCCTCTTGGCTCCCTCTTTCTTCTTAAAAACACAAAGACCGAAGTCCAAAGCCCCTTGGCCCCTGGTCTCCATAGAGCTATCTTCCCCTTCTTTTAAGGTCAATTTGTAGTTGGAACTCTTTTTTTTCTTTTTAGACCTCTTTATTTCCCACTCACCTTAAACACACGAGATCACATTTCTGCCACCATTTCCCCTTTCCCTTCCACTGATAAACTCTCCTGGAAGTGTTTTCACTGTTGTTGGATGACCTGTTAGTTGCTGCATCTTATGGACACTTTCAGTGTCTACCTTGACTTTCTTGTGGCCTTTGGTGCTCTGACCACTTCTTCCTAGAACTTCTAGAACCCTCCCCCCCGGTTTTCCTCCTTCTATCTGGTCATTCTGTCTCAGGTTCCATCAAGGTCCTCAAATGTTGAGGTTCTCCGGGGTTCTCAGGGCGGAACTCTTTATGTGCACTTTAGGATGTGATCCCAACCATCTCCAAGATGATTTCTTCCATCTTTAAACTTCCCCCACTAAACCCCCCAAATGTCTCGTCCTGGCTGTCTTCGGGACTCCGACTTCTGAAGCCTACCTAGCATCTCCTCTTGGATATCTCCCAGGCTTCTAAACTCATTCTGTCCAAAGCATCCGCTCTCACTACAACCTGCTCTTCCTCCAATGCTCTCATCTCAATAAATGGCTCCACAGTCTGTTAAACCTAGAAATCTATGTATCATCCTTGAAAGCTAAACACAGCATAGATTAAGGGCTAAGAGAAAGATTCCAGAAGCAGACTGCTTGAGTTTCTCAGCTGTCTGATTTGTTAGCTGTGTCATCATGAGTGGGATTTTTACCTCTCTTGGTTCCTCAACTGTACAGTGGAGAGAAGAGCAGTACCTATTATCCTCACAGTGTTGTTATCCTGATTATAACTTTTGTAAAGCACCTAATAATCTGTTTGTTTACCCCTTCTCCTGTTTTAATCATTATTCTGTATCGATCATAACACCCACTTCTGTTTAAAGGCATTCCGTATCTTCCATCGCCCTCCACGCCCAAATTCCTCATTTTGTCTGTCAAAACCCTGCATGCTCAGCCTTGGCCCCACCACTGCCCAGCACCGGGCAGAAAACTCCTTGTATTCTCTGGGGCTTTTTGCATGCTCTTCCTTCTGCCTTAAAGACTTCTCTCCCTCAATTCCCAGCCACTTTTGTCTGGACAGCTCCTACTCATTCTGCAAGTTTCAGCCTGAATATCACTCCCTAGGAAGTCTGATCCCGGACTGCTTTGGTGCCCCGCTCTGAATCTCCACACCACCCTATAATTTGCCTAGCATCTGTGCTTCGTTACAATTTACCGTAATGGATTCTTTGTCCAGTTCCTCCCTCAGACTATATTCTCTGTGAAATAAGGAACTCTTCCTTTTACTTCTTAAACTCATTGCTTGGAATATCCTGGGTGCTGAGCACATGAGTGAACAAGCGTATGCACCCAGGATATCCTGGGCCGAGCTTCTTATATTGAGCAACATAATCACATAAAATAGGAACCTATGGACTCTTGGGAACCTAGGCAGAAAACAGAAAGTTCACTACCTGGTCTTATAGGAGGAAAAGAATACAGGATATTTTAAATTTTTAATAAATGTTAAATATTTTAATATTTAGTATTTTTATTTTAAAATATTTTAAATTCTGAGTCAATGATGGGCTTTATTGCAGATTTAAAAAGTCAGTTTTTAAGATAGAGTGAAATGCTCCAGGTCTGTGTTTCTCAACTTTTTAAGACCATAGATCGTTCTGAGAAACCACACAATTTCATACTCAACCTCACCCTACCACATTTGACAATTACAACGTAGGGGTCATTTTCTGCCTATTCCCACCAGCCTAGGTTTTATTTAGCTTTACTTAGTTATGACAACATTGATTTTCAAACTATGATATCCCCATTCACATCTCTCAAACCCCAAAACTTAAAATAAGACTCATATATTTCCTTAATGAAAGAGTATGTGCCTGAACTATATTTTTCTTTTTTTTTTTACTTGTGGTATGCATCTTATTCTCATACAGTTGATTTCCTAATGATCGAGCCTTCTTCTAAACCAGGTGCAGTTACATGATAGACAATGTGATTCTACTGATGAACGGTGCATTGCAAAAAAAACCTGTGAAAGAAATTCTGGCCAAGTGCCACCCATTGGGCCGTTTCACGGAAATGGAAGCAGTCAACATTGCGGAGACACCTTCTGATCTCTTTAAAGCCGTTCTGGTGGAAACACCATTAGGTATTGAATGTGTAAGCAATTGTATCACTTCTTGTGTGTGTTATCATAGTCATCAGAAAATGTACATTCAATTCACGGTTTTCTCCATGAATCCAATGTCATACTATACAGATTCCTAGGCGTGGAAGGGACATTAATAAATCATTTAGTCCAGCTCCCTCATTCTTCCGATGACAACAAATGAAAGTAACCTTCCCAGAGTCACTTAAGGGACCATTCGTAGCCAAGTAGGGGCTGGGGCTCATCTCCCAACCTCCAAACCTTGTATGTTGTACCAGATCATAGTAAATAAATGATAGCACTTGTAATTTTTCAAAAAAAATTTAATTTTCTAGCTGGGTTTTATATGATTAATTTTGTCTTAAACTTCTGTCTAAATAAGGCTGTATAGAGGCAACATTTTGTTTTAGGAAGTTCAGGAATGCCATTTTTCTGAGATGCTCAGGGGCGCCTGTCAAATGACCTGAAGCAATGATGAAATAAATGCTCATTTCATTATAATTTAGCACTATAATTAGCAATAATAGTTCTAGCATTCAAAATGCTAGTGGGATAATTTTATATACATTATTGTCAGGAAAACTGGAGAGTAGCAATTCATAGCAATTCACTGTTGATCATGTGTCAAGATAGTTGCTGTTGAAAACAGAAATTTTAAAAAGAAAAAAAAATGGGTCACCATTAAACGTGTGGTGCAAAGGGAGCGTGATGGAAAGAGAGTAAGTCTATAATCATGGATATTTGATTCCAGGCTCTGCCTGGTCCCAACATGGTGACTTGGGGCAGTGTGGTTCCCCTCAGTTTCCTCACTTTAAAAAATAATAGTCTGTTAGTGTAACAGAGCTTTGAAAACTAAAGAAGACACAGTTTTAGTACAACTCAGTGCTTAGCACATGGTAAGGTTGCAAATGATAAATACTACTATGAGATGGGGGCGCTTCAAAACGTAAGCCATAAAGCGAATAGTTCCAAGGTGTCGTGGGGATCAAATAAGGTAAAATACAGGCATTGTTTAGTGAACAGCTTGCACGTAGTAAATCTTCAGTAAATAATCACCCTTACTGTCATCATTACCGGTAGCTTGATCCATTCTGTGGCTTGCCACTCTACAGTGTTCTAGTCAGGAGTGAGCCCAGGGTGATGTGTTCAGGAAATGTTTATAATCATGCTTTGAATTACTGTATTTTGTGGTAATTTCTGCTTTCAGCTCCATTCTTTCAAGACTGTATGTCTGAAAATACCCTTGATGAACTGAATATTGAGTTACTGCGCAATAAACTGTACAAAGTAAGTGTCTCCCAAAATACTATGTTTTCCTTTATGACATAATACATCCTGGCCAGAGTTCTTTATTAAAAGTTACTTTGCCCGTTAGCCAACTTTTGCAGTTATGATGCTTTGCAGACTTGGAATACAGCTTTTATAGTCCTGGTCTTCTAGTTCAATACATACATGTCAGCTTCCCCTGAAGCAGCAAGATTCTTGGAAGTTATGCACCCCATTCTTCTCTTCATTCCTAGCTCCTTGCCTGGTGTGCCTGGGACATAAAAGGTACCAATTGGATCGATGGACGGTGGGTGGGTGGACAGATGAGGAAGGCGAACCATATCCATTTTGAAACAACCAGCATACAGGGGTGTCTGGCGGGTTCAGGTGGTAGAGCCTGCAACTCTTGATCTCGGGGTTGTAGGTTCGAGACCCGTGTTGGTCGTAGAGATTACTTAAAAATAAAATCCTTAAAAAATTTTTTTAAAAATAATAAGACAACCAGCATACATAGTGATCCTTGTGTTATGTAGTATCCATCTCTGTCCTCGAGTTTCACCTTGCACAACCTGGCCAGCTATCTGTCTGGACTATGCTGCCACCATTTGAGTAGCTGTATGTCCATTGGGCTGAGCAAAATCTGTCCATTTTCACTCATACAACCATAGCATCTTTGGACAATCTCACAGAGTAACTGAAGGAGTATATGTTGTCATGCTATATAAATAGCTGCTTATGCTAAAACATATGGTCCTTTCAAAAGCACCGTGTTGCAGGCAATTTTCCTTTTTATAAAGAGATGTATGGACTTAGAGGAGGCATCCTTGAGATAGCTAACAGAAAGCACTGTCCTAAGCAAATTATAAGCATTAATTCACTTAATCTAGCCAGCAAAACTATCTGCTATCCCCATTCCTCAGATGAGAAAACGGAGACATGGAGAGGTAAGATTTACTTGGCAGAAGTCAGTTAGCTAGTAAGTAATTGAGTTGGGAGGCAAACACAGTCAAACTGTTCAGCCCAGACTCTGCCTTCCCAATGTGTCCTCCATGTTCAAAGCCATCCCAAACATGTCTCCTGAGCACCAAGAGAGATTAAATGTCAGCACAGGACCAAATCCAGAACTATTTGTTGAGCTCATAAAAGAATTTGGCACTCTTACTAGAGTACCAAAAATTAACCATGTGAAATAAACCCAAGAACCATGCAAAAAAAGTGCTTGTTAAGGAATCATAAGGTACGATAAATATAATTTTGTTCTTTTTTAAAGCTGTGCAACATGCTTCAATGTGAAAGTTTGTATCAAATTTTTAATAAAATATCACCCTGCAGGACAAGTAATTCAACCTCCATTAAAGTATTTAATAAGCCATGAAAAGCTGATCTAGAAATTTCCAAAGGAAAATATCTTCATTTTATTGTTTTATGATCTTCTTTTTAAGTCTTACCTCGAGGCATTCTATAAATTCTGTAAGAATCATGGTGATGTCACAGCAGAAATCATGTGTCCTATTCTTGAGGTAAGAAAGTCCTTGAATTTCTTTATGCCAAATAATGTGCTTACACACTTTTCACTTATATAATCCTACTTATATTTCTTTATGTTCGAAGCTCCTTTAACTACAGGTGCCTGGGTGGCTGTCAGTTAAGCATCTGCCTTCGGCTCAGGTCATGATCCTGGGTCTTGGGATCAAACCCCACTTTGGGCTCCCCACTCAGCAGGGAGCCTAATTCTCCCCCTCCCTCCACCCCCCTGCTCATGCTCACTCTCTCTCATGCTTCTGTCTCTCTGTCTCTCAAATAAATAAAGAAACACTTTTTAAAAAAGCTCCTTTACCTAAAAATAAAATAAACAACATATATTATTGTGTATATCATTTGATGCCTTCAGTTAAGAGTGGTATTTTCCAAGTTTTCTAAATAGAAGAGTTATTTTGGAATTAGAAAAGAATAATGCTTATAAAAGTTTTGTCATGATTCATTTTGATGTAATATAACAAAGTAGAATATAGTTAGTTAAAAATTTGGTATACTATGAGCAATTGGTAGACTAAGAGTACTTGTAATAATAACCCAACTTCCCTCCAACAAGGAACATTGGGCAAGCTGGGAATTCTCACAGTGTGGAACCAAAGTCCACTGTAGGCCTTGTTCCTTATATAAATCCTAAAATAAAGGGCACTCAAACAATCCTCAGGCATTCCAGCTCTGAGTAGGAAGACTCTTCAGGTTAAGTGATTCACAGTTGGCATGCTCACTAAATTATGTGTCAGATGCCACCACTGCTTTCTACCTCTCTAGTTGATGTTATAATCTTTTTAATTTCTCTTTATCATCACAGATTTCATCTATGCTCAGAGATCCTCTTGCTTGCATGTGCGATCTCAGAGATTGAGGCCAGAGATCAGAAGGATCTGGGGACATCCAGGGCATAGTTTGTATTGTGTTTCATATAGATCTCTTATGCTGGCTTCACTTGATTGGGTGGGGGGGCAGATACCATTCTAGACTTAGAAAAGCCCTTTGCTTTGCCCGGTGAAGCTAAGTTTTGTCTAAAGAATACCTTTAATCATTAGATTATCTGTCAACAGTGACTTCATTGGTAGGTAGATTAAATAGTTCAATGACTTCTGCTTTCAAGAAAAGCCTGATAAGAACTGCCCTTTAGGCAAAAAAGGAAAAAACAAAAAACCTGAATAACTTCATCTGCATATATTTTAACCTAATGTTCTGAAACTGCATATGATAAAATGAGTTCCCCTCAAAACATCTAATCCTTAAAATTTTACAGTTAAAGATTCTTTGCTATCCCCTGTTGAAACGCTTCAAGCAAAATCTGTCCTTGAAGTAAAAATTTATCACTGGAAAACTCCCAAAAAATCTTTTTTGCCTTTATCTATATTACACAGGAAGTACGCATTGATACATAAATAACATTTTTTTAAAGATTTTATTTGTTTATTTGATAGAGTGAGACAGATAGTGACAGAGATAGCGAGAGAGAGCACAAGCAGGAGGAGAGGCAAAGGGAGAGGGAGAAGCAGGCTTCCCGCGGAGCAGGGAGCCCAATGCTGGGCTCGATCCCAGGACCCTGGGATCACGACCTGAGCCAAAGGCAGACACTTAATGACTGAGCCACCCAGGCTCCCCAAATACATGACATTTTTTTATGGTATACTAAATGTCAGAAAGTGAGCTAGTCTCTTTCAGACATTCTGATCACCTAACATAAGTAACCTGCTGGCCCTATGAAGCACTCCCCTTTCGGTCATAAATTTTTAACTACTAGCCACACTTATAAGAAGCCACATTATCTATGGCTCGAAAGTGTAATTTCTACTGGCATAATTTCTGTGGTCTAGAAATGGCTTGTGTGCTTTATGTCCACAAAATAGGTGAAATAAGAGCTATGGTAAAACTCATAACCCTACAAAAGATATACAATAACACTATTAATAGTTAACATATATTATGTGCCAGATACTATCCTAAGTGCTTTATATACTTGAATTCGCTTAGACTTCAAAACAGCACAATGGGGGCGCCTGGGTGGCTCAGTTGGTTAAGCGACTGCCTTCGACTCAGGTCATGATCCTGGAGTCCCGGGATCGAGTCCCGCATCGGGCTCCCTGCTCGGCGGGGAGTCTGCGTCTCCCTCTTTCTGACCCTCCCCCCGTTCATGCTCTCTCTCTCTCAAATGAATAAATAAAAAATCTAAAAAAACCCAGCACAATGAAAATTTAAAAACAGCACAACAACATGGGAGTTGAGTATCTGTTTTTCCGAACAGGCAACTGAGGCACAAAGGAGGCTAGTAACTTGGCTGATGACACACAACTGATAAGTGGTAATGTCAGAATTTGAAGCCAGGTAGCCTAGCTCCGGATCCTCTATGTTTATCTACTATATTACCTCTACATTAAATTCACCATTCGCAATTCTTGTATAAAAGTTAGTGCTAATTCAGTGTGCCTGGATGGCTCAGTTGGTTAAGCATCTGCTTTCCCCTCAGATCATGATCCTGGGATCCTGGGATCCAGCCCTGTGTTGGGCTCCCTGCTCAGTGGGAAGCTGCTTCTCCCTCTCCCTCTGTCGTTCCGTTCCCCCTGCTTGTGCTCGCTCTCCCTCTCTCAAATAAATCTTTTTTTCGAAAGTTAGTGCTAATTCATAAGCAAGATCATATTGCATGTGCTATAAAAATCAGAAATAGATAAGAATTATGTCTCTGTAATCCTCAGTAATGCAGAAAGGACAGCATAGTATTAGAAGAATCCTTATCACTGTAAGGGTTTGATCAAACTACTATATACCCAGTGTTCCCATTATCCCTTTCCTATACCCATGATATCACCACATTAGATTAGGTTTTCTTCAAGCTGTGTTAAAAATAAAAGTCCATTTAACTATCTTTATACATTATGTAGAAGTATTAGTTACACATAGCATGCAATTACAACGTTTCTAATGATATGATCAGAAGAGATTTGTCAGATTTATATAAATTGATATATTTATATAAATATATCAGATCGTGTAATTACCCCCCATTTTATTTGTGCAACAGTAGAGCATTTCCAGTTACAAAGTTCTTCCATATATGTTCTTATTTAATCTCAGTTGACAGGAGACTTCAAAAGACTTAATACGGTAAAAGAGAGCATTAACCTGGCCTTGCATGCAAAAATTTGACCTAATTACAAGATTGTGACTTCATATGGAAAAAAAAAAGAAATTGACATATTCAAGGCAATGCACTGCAGCGTACTGTTTGCTTTCATGCCTTTTATTATTTATTTGTCTTTGCTCTTCTGACAACCTATATGTTTAACGAGACAGTGAAAAACAAGCACAGAAGAAGTGTTTCATCCTCCCGAGCTGGCGAGGCTGGGCTCAATTCCAGTTCACTTCACTCTCTTCCCCTCCACCCAGTGCCCCCACAAGGTATTCCTGTCCTCCAATAATGAACCGGCAAGAATGTGTGACCTGACAGCCCAACTCTATCATGTGCAACTGATAATGATTTTGATTAAGTCAACAGTACACTTTACAACAACAACAAAAAATAAGTTATGGTTTTAAAATGAATACGTGTAAGGAAGAGTGAAAGGGGTTAGGACATCTGGCGTCACCTGTGCTCCACACAGGAAGCCAACCCTCCGTAAATGATAGAGAGGACTTGAGTGAAATCGAATACCACCCCATTTACTCTCGTCCATAATCAGATGTTGTGTCAAACTGTCTGCTTAGGGATGGTCAAACACCAGATAGCCCTTTTACAATTTCAAGATTACAGTTCTTTTCACTAAGAATACACACACTCACACACAAAGAGCCTCTAGAATAGAAGGAGGTACTAAGGTAAACATGCAGGCAGTTATAATAAAGGGGAAATTAAAGTATAATAAGGATCAAAGATCATATCCAATTGGGGAGGAAATAGAAGGGCTTCTTGTAAAAAAAAAAAAAATGGCATTTGATGGGACCCTCCAATGCAAGTAAGATTCCAACATGGAAGGTTCTGGAATGAAGTACACACACTGTAGGCAAAGGGAAGAAGTAGTTACAAGAACAGGTGTTGGAGTGTTCAGAGAACCTATTGTATAATCAAAGTCCTCTCTTGGCATGGCCCATGAAGCCTTTCCTGTTCTCTTCCCAGCTACCTGTCCAGCCTACTTCTTCACCTGCTTTCCCAGTGCTGGAGCAATGACCATTCCTCCAAAATGTCCTGCTTTATAACTTCATGCATCTTCCTCCTCTAGAATGGACTCTGCTGCTAGGCATGTCTGCAATGCTGCCTATTCCACCCCACTTCTCTCCTGAAAATCCTAACATCTTCTACAGCAGTGTATGTCGATTATTGCTCAATAAAACTGGGCGGGGGGGGGGGGGAGTGAAAAAAAAAAAACGCTAACATCTTAGAACTAGAAAGCACATTAAAGGGCATGTGGGACAATTAACTCTGTTGTTGCTCCTCCTGCTCTAATTTTTATTCCAAGGTTTCTGATTGCCATGAAATCTTCCTCTTGCATTTCTTCTGTCCCTGGAAGGTCTAAAATTCCTGACAGTTACATTCAGTAGCCAGGGGCAGCTGCCTTTGCTTCCAAATGAGGCCACTCCCTGCTTCTGGGTCACCCATACTTTCCATGAGGTCAATCAAAAGGATCAGAAGGAACCAACTCTCACTCTCCTGATAGGAAACACCTGTTCTAACAAAAGAGTTCCAGTAAAATCTGTTCCAAGTCTGGATTTGTTAATTCGTCGGAAGTAAGCTGATCAAAAGATACTGTAGAGCAATCTATTTCAGCTATTGTGTGTGTACAAATAACCTTGGAATCCTGTTAAAATGCAAGCCCTGGTTTAGTAGGGCTGGACTATGGCCTGAGACTCTGCATCTCTTTTTTTCATGACCTGAGCTGAAAACAAGAGTAGGACGTTTAACCGACTGAGCCACCCAGGTGCCCTGAGATTCTGCATTTCTAACAAGCTTCTAGGTGACATCAAAGCTACTGACCCAAGAAACACACCTTGAGTAGCAACATTGTAGAGAATATTGGAGAATTTTGAAAGTAGTAGAATCACAGACCATTCTGTTGGATTCAGTAAACAGCTGTGATCTTCCTACGTGTCAGGCACTAACAATAAACAAGAGCAACATGATTTCCCGCAAAGATTTTACAGTGTAGTAAGGAGAAAAATAATTTCCAGATTTTAAAATAAAGTAAGTGCAGGATGTTTCAGGTATATAGAGAAGAGTTTCTCAGCTCAAGGACACTATGACAAACTCCCATGATGGGCAGAGAGGATCCCACGAAGGACAGGCTGAGAAGGAATGGTCGCAGGAGGTAGGAGAACCAAGAGACAGAAGAAACATGAGGACCAAAGGAATAGTGAGAAATTTCAAGAAAAACTGAGTGGTTAGAGGAAATTGGCCTGACGTGGAGCTGTTTGCTCAGGTGCCTGGTGGTGCTCAGCACAAAGACAGGACATGAGTATATGTGACCTGCCTGAAAGATCATGAGGTCCAACCCTATCGTCTTTCAAGTGAGGAAACAGGCCTGAGAGGAAGGTAACTTGTCCTGAGCCACCTAATCCTGAGCTACACAGTTAAATTGATTGATATCCAACTTAGAACTTTCAAGAAGAAAACCAAAACTATCAAAGTACAAACAAATGGTAAGTAGCATAAAGTTTCATTAGGTTAAAAGAAAAATCATACATCAAGAACCAGAGAGAGATGTTAACATTTATGACATGAACCCTTTGTTCCAAACACCCTGCCAGGCACTTCCACTTACATTATCTTGTCCTATCCCTGGACAGACCCCAGCAAGTAGGTACTATTCCCATTTTTTATGGAAGAGACATTTGAGACTCCAGTGACCTATGTGACGGAGACCCATGAGTAACGAATTGCAGAGAGCTTAGGAAGTAAAGTTCAGTGGGGTTTCAAGAGTCATGGACCATTAACACTGTGTGATCCTTCTCTGGCAAGCAAAATTACTCCATTATAAAAAGAGGCTAAGGGTTGGGCGCCTGGGTGGCTCAATTGGTTAAGCATCTGCCTTCGGCTCAGGTCATGATCCCAGGCTCCTGGGATCGAGCCCCACGTAGGGCTCCCTGCTCAGCGGGAAAGTCTGCTTCTCCTCCCTCTGCTCCCTCTGCTCATGCTCTCTCTGTCAAAAGAAAGAAATAAAATATTAAAAAAAAAAAAAAAAGAGGCTAAGGGAACATTAATAACACGTTTGTATTATAATTAGACATAAATCTGGAAAGGAAAGAAAAGCAAATCACTCTGGAAATGAATTTGTCTACATAGGGTTTTGTTTATAGCATTTAGTACATGGTTAGATTTCACTGATTTTATGTCTTGCAAATTCAGTTTGAGGCTGACAGACGTGCTTTTATCATCACTCTTAACTCCTTTGGCACTGAACTGAGCAAAGACGACCGGGAGACCCTCTACCCGACCTGTGGCAAGCTCTACCCTGAAGGGTTGCGCCTTTTGGCTCAAGCAGAAGACTTTGATCAGATGAGGAGAGTAGCAGACCATTATGGAGTACGTAACTACACCAGGCACCCCAAATGTTTCACATCTCATCACCTGTACTTGAGAAGTTCACACATCAAATTTTTGATGTGTTTTCTCTAAATCCGTTACGTTTGTAAGGTAGAAAGCAGTGCCATTCTAGAACTGTCTCTCCCAAAGGAGTACTTCAAGTTTCTAATCCACGTGGGTTGGTTTTTTGGTTTTTGGTTTTTTGTGTTTTTTTGAGGTTCCTGCCAAGCAAGTACTTGTTTAAATCTTCAAGGAGCAGTCATTCGAGCACGTCTTTTGAAGTGCTTGATAAAGCAAGCTTCCCAAGGGACTGGTGCAGTGTTCTGGATATGTGAGCTCATGTCAAAGTTATATAAAATATCCTGACCCAGCAGTCCTTTACCCATTGGGTAAACAGACTTAGGTACAGAATGTCCACTTGAAATACAAGGGAGAATATGGACATACTGGTTTCTGCCATTCCCTTTAATCAGTGGCCAGGAGTAGGGAATGGAAGAAGGGCTGCTGTGTTCTTCCCTTACTCCACATCCAAATGCTCTCTTAAGAGCCTGCAGTTTCTCAGCTCATCCCGATTCCATTCCTTCTGATTTATGTTAACATAATGCTCTCCAGGTAACTTTTCCAGAACTGGAATGACACGCTTATCTTTTCTTATGTGTTTCTGAAGCTTCCAGGAAAGAGAAGTCAGCAAACTGCATAAACCTTTGTAGGAGCTCATGTCATCACAAGAGGCTTTTTAGCATAATACTAAATTTTGAGCTTCTCCCCGGTTTCCACCCCTTCCGCACTTGAAATTCCATGTGAATCTTATCAGCTGTCATTTCAAAGAACCCATGAACCCATGCTGGTTAAACCACAAGCATTCATTTATCCTCTGTAATGTGCCCCACTAGCCCTAAGAACCTAATGCAGAAATTAGCTCATACAAGGTATATTGAGAGTAGAATTGCTCTTGCGTCTTACCCTGTAAGGCCTGAATAAGCCAGTGGGCTAGAAATCCATCCATACTCTTATCTGGATTTTTTGATATTTTTTCAGGAGGCCAAAGATCCTACAAAAAACATTCAGTCCTTTTGGATAGATTTTTTAGAACAGATACATCATTTCTATATTGCTGGGAAAATATCTTCATACATATTTATAAGAAATGAGAATCTGTTTAAAAATAGCCTCTGTTTTTTAGGTGTACAAGCCTTTGTTTGAGGCTGTGGGTGATGGCAGTGGAGGAAAGACATTGGAGGATGTGTTTTATGAGCGTGAGGTATGGTATAAATGGGAATGCCTTAGTTTATGTATGCTTTTACTCTCTGTTTTAGATGTTTTCTTACTTTGGGTTTTCTTTTGGGGGGGCTTCTTTTTACAGTTGATAAGTTCAGTTGATTAAGCACATTCACAATTTGACAGCCAAATGGGTATTAGTATCTCTGCCTTGGAGGCCCAGTGGTTCACAAATGATGGCTTCCTGTTGAATTGTCCCATCCAGAAACACAATGTGTCCTATCCAGTACACATAGTGAAGCTATGGAAAGAATGCAGCTATTCCATAATTAACTAGAGAAGCAGAGCTAGGACATTCTCATGATCATATATTGACTATCCTCATGGTGTATACTCTTTTAGGTGCATCCCACTCTCTAATCCATCCCTTCCTCAAGAAGGATTTGTCTACAGTTATAATTTAGGAGGACGATTATAACACTTAGGAATTATTTGTATGGAAGTCTCTCTGGAGAGTTTGGACTATTCTCTTTCCCTGAAAAACAGAAGAGTACTTAATCCATTTATAGTCAGTTCCCGGGCTACTGAACTGTTCAACAAAACGGCTTTTTTTCAGAGGGATGGGGATACCAAATAAGGTCTCTCAAATCTAGAGAACTTTTCTAGTGTATTTTATTCATTTCTCTAAAACCACTGGCCCTTCCCTTTCAACTGATTGACAGAAAACCCTGAAATTTATCCAAATTTTAGGGTAGGACTGGCTTCAGAAAGCAGTTCGGGCCCTTTCCTATAAGTCCTATTCCAGACATTTCCCAACAGCTCTCTAGTGCCTGTCACAGAAAGAAGTAAAAACAACACAAGTTATCCCATATATTAGGGATGTTTTTAAAATTCCACACTATTGCACAACTGCTTCAAAGAAGGCTGTTAAGAAAGCTGCCCTTGGCAGGAAAAATAAGTGTCTGTTCCTGAAAGCAAGGACCTCCACTTCCTGAATACTTAGCTTGACGTTTTCAGAACTGAATGAGGGACTTAGTACCTCTCATCCTTTTTTCAAAGTGGAAAAGAATAAAAGAATTGTTCCATTTCAGACTTTACCTCAGTTAAACAATTTTTTTTTAAATTTTCTTTTACTGATCTACCTTCTGCAGGAAAAAAAAACCCAACTCAACTATATGTCAAGTTGCTGCAGAACATCCTAAGAAAGCTCATAATGTCACTCATTCCAAATTCCAGGGGCCTGTGACATTGCCCTGGAGGAGAGTTAGGCAGCCTGTAAACCTTTTTAACATTTTCAAAGTTGTGGCCAAGGAAAAATAGTTTACCTAAGTGAGACAAGCCCTCTAGCTAGAAGCCAGCTATATATATTACTACAAAGTTCCGCACATACATACACACACAAACACCAAGATTTTCCCAGGAATCTTTGTACTAGCAGTGCTGCAGAGATTAGGAGTTTGTCTAGTGATTCTATAAACCTACTTTATTTTTTTATAAAGTTACTTTTTAAACTACTATTGTCTATCTTTATCTGGAGAGTGACACTAAAGTTCCCTTTAGCATTTGATGACTTGCTACCGTTTTCCTCTATTTGACCCAATTTGGACATTGCCTGTTTAAATACAAATAAGCACTGTACAAACACAAGCCAGTCTGGAGTTTAATATTATTTCATAAATGTAGTACACTCACGCTCCCGGTAAGTGACGGTCTGTATTGTTTTCTCCTTCCTCAGGTACAAATGAACGTGCTGGCATTCAACAGGCAATTCCACTATGGTGTGTTTTACGCATACACAAAGCTGAAGGAACAAGAAATGAGAAATATTGTGTGGATAGCAGAATGCATTTCACAAAGACATCGAACCAAAATTAACAGTTACATTCCAATTTTATAACCCAATGTGGGGCCTCCAATGCAGAACATCTTAAATATTAAGAAGAGCTTCCAAGGAAAATAAAAAGAATTGTGTTGTGTTATCGGGGTTACACAAAAATAATTCACATTGCAGCTTCATGAGTTGCAGACCCACTAGAAACATAGTAAACCAACAGAAACAAAGTGATTCTTTTTTTTTTCCAGCAGCCTTAAATTTTGTTTCAACATTTATGTCTCACTCTTTACCAGACCTTAGACATTAATTCTAATTATCAACCCTTTGGTACTTTTCCTCTTCTTGTTTGGTTGTATTAACAATCAGATCTAATTAAAGTGTTTTACTCTTGCTTTCACTTCTCTGCAGGCCTCCTTACTGTCTGCTTTACTTTTCCCTCACCTAGGTCCACAGAAATCCTGGGTTGTGTGAGGCCAGCATTGACCACATGTGATGAAAATATTGTTTTGTTTTTAAGATTTTATTTTATTTTATTTTGAGAGAGAGAGAGCGTGTGCATGTGCACACGGGTAGGGGGTGGGGCAGAGGGAGGGAATCTTCAAGCAGACTCCCCACTGAGCATGGAGCCCAAAGTGGGGCTCAGTCCTACAACACATGAGATCATGACCTGAGCCAAAACCAAGAGGTAGATACTCAACCAACTGAGCCACCCAGGTACCTCCAAATGGTAAGATATTTAAAGTATACAATGTGATGATTTGATACACATACACACTGTGAAAGGATGCCCCCATCAAGTTAGTTATACATCCATCACTTCACATAGTTGGCTCTCCCCACCCCCACCCCCCCCACCCCTGCCTAGAATATTTGAGTTCTACTCTCTTGGCAAATTTCAGTTATACAGTAGTGTTATCAACTATAGTCACCATGTTACACATTAGATCCTCAAACCTTATTTATCTTATAACTGAAAGTTTGTCCTCTTTTACTAACCCCTCCATATTTCCCCATCCCCAGCCTCTGGCAACGACTTTTCTACTCGCTGTTTCTAGGAGTTAAATTTTTTCCTTTTTTTAGATTCCACATTTAAGTGAAAATTGAAAGGTGTAGCTAAGATTTTAATAATCTATGATTAGATTAAATAATATTTTACTTAAGATTTATGGAGGCATGGAAGAGTAGATGATGGTGATTCTCAGCTCTCAGTGTCCAGATGATGTGGTTGTACATAAGGATTCACCTTGGTGTGATGACAGTGATTTATATTGAACAAAACTTTCAAACCCTCAAAGGCTTTTCAGTAGAAAGATCAGAGGAAAGTTATGCAATATCCACACATGCAAATACATAAACATAAATCAGAGAGAATAAATACTTCACAGTTTAATTGTCCCTTGTGCTAGGTATAATTCTGTGAAATATCAGGATTATCTGAGCCATAGAATTTAACATGAGTAGTTAACAGTGGCTTTAATCATTTGGGTTCACATAACCCTTTAAGAATCTGACGAACATGGGGCCCCTGAGTGGCTCAGTCGTTAAGCGTCTGCCTTCGGCTCAGGTCATGATCCCAGGGTCCTGGGATCCAGCCCCACATCGGGCTCCCTGCTCAGAGGGGAGCCTGCTTCTCCCTCTCCCACTCCCCCTGCTTGTGTTCCTGCTCTCGCTGTCTCTCTGTCAAATAAGTAAAATCTTAAAAAAAAAAAAAAAATCTGATGAACACTATGGCCACTTTCCCTCAGGTTAATAGACATCTGCACATTCACCCAAAATTTTGCATAGTTTTTGAAAAGACTGGATCCTCTAAAATCCATTCGTGTGCAACCTAGAGGTCCAGGGACTCCACGTTAAAAACCTCCATTGCATAGGCCAAGGAATAAAAGAAAACAAAGTCATGGATGAGAAAGTATTTAAGAAATATAAGTACTCATATACCCCTCCATCTCTTGGAAGGGCGTCCTGTTCGGCTGAGCCAGCATTTTCAGGGTGGAGGCACATGCTTTGGTAGAAAGGGCCCCTCAGGAACCTGGGTGGCTCAGTTGAAAAAAAAAAAAAAGGCTCCTCACCTGACCAGCAAGGTCAGTCATGTCAATCATGGAAATGATGGAGGGAAAGAGGTCACAAGCAGTTTGCTGTCATACTAAATTGAAATTATGATCCAAAACATCCAACTTTACTTTTTGAAACTATTAATGTTCATAATCCATCCAATGCGCTAACCAATGTTACTATTTTTTGCAAGAAGAGTAGGCGAAAACTTTCTGGATTGGTTAAAAATAAATGCTGATCTATAAATATAGTCAACTGATCTTTGACAAAGAAGCAAAAGCAATACAATAGACCAAAGATAGTGCCTTAGCAAATGGTACTGGAACAACTGGGCATCCATATGCAAAAAAAAAAAAGACACTAGACACAGACCTTATACCTTTTACAAAAAAAACTCAAATGGATTATGATTTAAATATATGACCTATATAATGACCTAAATATAAAACATGAAACTATAAAGCTCCTAGAAGATAAAATAGGAGAAAACCTATATGATCTTGGGTATGGTGATGCCTTTTTTGATACAACACCAAAGACACAACCCAGGAAAGAAAGAATTGATAGCTAGACTTCGTAAAAATTAAAATTTTCTGCTGTGCAAAAGACAATATCAAGAGAATTACAAGACAAGCTATAGACTAGGAGAAAATATTGGCAAAAGACACATCTGATAAAATAATGCTATCAAAAATATATAAAAAAATAAGAAAGCAAACAACCTGATTAATAAATGAGCCAAAGACCTTAACAGACACCTCAACAATGAAGACATAACAGGAGGCAAAGAAACATGAAAAAACGTTTCATGTCATATGTCGTCAGGGAAATACAAATTAAAACAATAAGGTACTATTACACTCTTATTAGAATGGCCAAAGTCCAGAACATGGGCAACTCCCAAAGCGGGCAAGGATATGGAGCAACAGGAACTCTTAGTCATTGCTGGTAGGAAGGAGTTGAAACTTATGTCCACACAAAAACCTGCACATAAATCTTTATAGCAGCTTTATTCATAATTGCCAAAACTTGGAAGCAACCAAATGCCCTTTAGTAGGTAAATGGATAAACAGTGGTACATGCAAACAGTGGAGTATTATTCAGCACTAAAAGGAAAAAAGCTATCCAGCCATGAAAAGACAGAGAAACCTTAAATGCGTATTGCTAAGTGAAATAAGACAATCTGAAAAGGCTACATAATACCTGTTTTCAACTATATGACATTTGAAAAAAAACTGTGGAGACAATAAAAAAGTAGTGGTTACCAGAGGTAACCATAAAAAATTGACATATATGTATGATCCACTAATTTTTTACAGTAAATTTCTCTACTTTAATGGTTATATCCTAATCTGACCACTTTAGTACATCAGGGTGAATATTCTTTTGTTTCCTTATTCAATATAGCCATCTAAGGAACATATTTTTATTTCCTCCCTGGTGTATCTATCCTAAAAAGACCAAGAAATAAGATAGATGATTTAAGCTGGATACTGAAATACTAACATCGGTACCAAGAAACAGAACTTCAGAAACATAATGGATACTAGTTTTCCAAATAAGGGAACTATAGTCAGAATAAGAGTAGACGAATCAAAACTAGATTTCAAGTGTCCTGACTCTTCCCATTGTGTGTGTGTGTTTGTGTGTGTTCTGCTTTCTTTGTGGTAGTTTCATTTTTTATTTTCTCCTTAAGTTATAGCTTCCAGTTTAAGACTAAGGTCCTTGTTTGGTCCAAATACATTTTGTGAAAAAGAACAGAAATCCGGTGTGCCTGGCTGGCTCAGCTGGAAGAGCATGGGACTCTTGATCTCAGGGTTGTGAGTCTGAGCCGTACATTGGGTGTAGAGATTACTAAAAAATATAAATAAACTTTAAAAAATGATAGAAATCCTATCAAACCATCTTGAAATCCAAAAAGGAAACATATTGCCTCATGTCATTGGGAATTTGAATTGCTCATGGAACCAGACCCAGGGTGTCAAAGATTTCATTAAGAACTGTCCTTTTGATCAAGAAAGGATGCTGTACTTTGTCAAGTACATAAAAGCCATCTATGAAAAATCCACAGAAAAGATCATTCTCAATGGGGAAAAACAGAGCTTTCCCCCAAAGGTCAGGAACACAGCAGGGATGTCCACTATCACCACTGCTATTCAACATAGTTCTAGAAGTCCTAGCCACAGCAATCAGACAACAAAAAGAAATAAAAGGCATCCGAATCGGCAAAGAAGAACTTAAACTCTCACTTTGCAGATGATATGATACTTTATGTGGAAAACCTAAAAGACCACCCCAAAACTGCTAGAACTCATACAAGAATTCAGTCAAGTGGCGGGATATAAAATCAATGCACAGAAATCAGTGGTATTCCTATACACCACCAACAAGACAGAAAAAAGAGAAATTAAGGAGTCGATCCCATTTACAATTGCACCCAAAACCATAAGATACCTAGGAATAAATCTAACCAAAGAGGCAAAGGATCTGTGCTCAGAAAACGATAAAGTACTCATGAAAGAAATTGAGGAAGACACAAAGAAATGGAAAAACGTTCCATGCTTATGGATTGGAAGAACAAATATTGTGAAGATGTCAATGCTACCTAGAGCAATCTACACATTCATTGCAATCCCTATCAAAATGCCATCCATTTTTTTCAAAGAAATGGAGCAAATAATCCTAAAATTTGTATGGAACCAGAAAAGACCCCAAATAGCCAGGGGAATGTTGAAAAAGAAAAGCAAAGCTGGCGGCATCACAATTCCGGACTTCAAGCTCTATTACAAAGCTGTCATCATCAAGACACTATGGTACTGGCACAAAAACAGAAACATAGATCAATGGACCAGAATAGAGAGCCCAGATATGGACCCTCAACTCTACGGTCAACCAATCTTCGACAAAGCAGGAAAGAATGTCCAATGGAAAAAAGACAGTCTCTTCAACAAATGGTGTTGGGAAAATTGGACAGCCACATGCAGAAGAATGAAACTGGACCATTTCCTTACACCACACACAAAAATAGACTCAAAATGGTTGAAGGACCTCAATGTGAGGCAGGAGTCCATCAAAATCCTAAAGGAGAACACAGGTAGCAACCTCTTCGACCTCAGCCTCAGCAACTTCTTCCTAGATACATCGCCAAAGGCCAGGGAAGCAAGGGCAAAAATGAACTATTGGGACTTCATCAAGATAAAAAGCTTTTGCACAGCAAAAGAAACAGTCAATAAAACCAAAAGACAGCCGACAGAATGGGAGAAGATATTTGCAAATGACATAC